CTGCTTGTTTTTATTTTGCTATAGAACCCAATATTCCACAATAAAGTATTTATAAGTAAATAAAAAAAATATGCACTTGTATCACAAAATAATCCTGTATCATTTTTGGAATATTTTTCTTTTTCAAATAAAAGATTTAATCACAACCTGTAAGCAATGAGAACAGAATTAACAAGGAAATGCATCAAAAAAATTGTTGAACAGTTTATTAATTTCCTAGTTTACAAACTGAAAGTTTGATAAGATAACTTCCCAGTAAAAATAAAACAAAGAAATTAACCTTATCAGAGAAATAAAGCATTCTTTTGTGTTATTTATAGAAAAAAAAAATGAAGTGAATTTTCCACATTAATATATGCAATTACAGTCTTGGTTCCTGATTGTGTAATATACATTATAATTAATCTTTTGTTTTCCATTGTTCTTTCTTGCCTTAAAGTTAATGATCAATAAAGAACCTTTATAGATGAATTCTTTTGTTGTTAGAATACCATGCTTGTAATGGCATTGATCTATATCGTGTAGTGATTTTACTATGCAGTTGCAGTTTTGTACCAAATATGTTGATTTTTAAATGTGCAAGTAGCCTCAAGGCTGTCTTCAAAAGTTTACTGATTTTTTTTTTAAAACATTTTATTGAGTCATCTTATAAGGTTTACAAGTTTAAAGATACATGAAAGTTGGTACTGTAAACGTTACAATGGTTTGAATACAAGATTACAATATTCAGTCTTTAGTGGTTTGGTCGGTATCCATAAGTCGTAATTTCCCCCACTTTTTATTGAGTTTACTCATTTTCCCTTTCCTTTTTGCGGTGTAACATTCAATCATTTCAATCCCTTTAACAAATGTCTTAAAGTTGACATAATTTGGTCTTTTTTAGTGACACCTACATACACAGATAAATCTCTTGGCCAACAGAATCAGACAATTTAGTAACATAGGACGAAGGCAATCACCTAATATAATGAATTCAGGGTCTAATGACCCTGGAGCTCCAACATGTTTTCCCCATTCTTCAATGAATTTTGTCCAGAATGCATTGACGTGAACACAGTGGTTGAACAGGTGAAGAAGAGTTTCGTCTGGCCCTTTACAAAATGATTACTGATTTTTTGTAAAATATGATATTTATATACTTTGATGATGATGATCTTGGTGTTCATACATATACATGTACATACATTTCATGAAAACTGCCAAGCCAAGCCAAGCCAATCTGCTGAATTTGTGATAAAATATCGGAAACTGTCCTATGAATGATGTGTAATAAAATTCCACTTCCTGTCACGAAACTGACACGGATGCACGCTCTGTAAAATAGGATCTAAAAAATAGAGCTGCAAATATTTTAGTTTCAGGAGAAGTCAATTGACAGCTTAGAAAGAAATCCTGAATTCTAAGAATGTTGGAGGCATATGAAGTTGAAAGAATATTTTAAATTAATTAAAATTTACGATTAGCCTTTTCAAGAAGAAGCCTGTTGTCTAATATACTGCTGTTTTTTTTAAATGTGCTTTTTAAGGAATAACATTTGATTGTACATCCGTGGTTTGCAGTCTGTGGTTTATCGCAGAACACTTAATTAAGCACAAAGTTTAACTTGAATCTGATAGGACATTCTTGAAATATCAGAAAGTTTCTTAATTTATGCAAATAAGTTAATTAATATACACAGATTGTGACACTTAGCTTATCTGGTCTGTGGAATAAAAAATAAGCTACTTTTTCATGAAGTTTCATTTAAATCTGCTGAGTTGTTATTGATATACATATGAAGGAGCTGCATATTGACTAACTTGTCAACAAATTATGAATTGAATTGAATTTATGTGTACAGTTTTCATAATTATTGACAGTTGCATAATCATTTACTTCACAGGATCTCGGCAGTAAGGACTTGAAGCGAGAAAAAATATTCTTGGTTTGCCAGATTATCAGAATAGGTAAGAAAATAAATTACTTTCAGTATATAACATAGTCTATAACACACCATATGCAAGCTGGTCACAATTTCCTAAAATTCTAACACTTTTCACTCTCACAGCTTTGAATTTGATGTTTTTAAACCAGTATGTGTACATCAAGAACAGATCACAGTTCAGGAGAAATTTATAAATGTCAAGTTAATAATTGAACCAAAGTATTTCGGCATGGTGGACATGCTTACACTGTTTTATTCCTTCTCAGACTTAGACTGGGCTATTCTTTATACTAATATTACATGTAATATGTACCTGTACTTTAACGATGCCGCAAAAACTTGATTCCGAAAAATGTATAGAGCAATAAACAATTGAACTTAATAGGACACTGGTATCATGTACATGTATTGAGAGTTTCTCACAGTTTGTAAGTTATTTATTAGTTACTATAGTTACCAACTCCTACCTCCCTCCCTCATCAGTACCACTAATTTTTGACACAATAACATCGTGGTGGATCTGTGCTTTAATTCAAACCGGAGCAATAAAGCAATCAAGAAGATTTACTTATGATAAAACTAAGTTGGTGTTTACATGTTTTTTTATAGCAAACCACAAAAAAAAAACATTTTTGTATAGCATTTATAATGAAAAACAATGCAGGTAGCACCCCAAAAAGTAACTTATTTGTGTGTGTCTGCTGTAACTAAATGCTTTCTACAAGTGATGTTTTATTTGTTGCCGTTAATACCAAAATTAGAGGTGAACCATCAGCCAAAGCCAGATAATTTTATGACCACTCCGTAAGTTCAGACAAATAAACAAGTTATGAAAATCTTCCCAATTACATGGTCAATTTTTTTTAGAAAGGTTAAAATGTTGGAGTTTTCACAGTATTTACTTACCTAACATCCTGATAGTTTGCTATTTGGCTCAGATAAAAGCAACACAATTTCAAAAAAAATGTGTCTTAATAATAATCTGATGCGCATAATGTTTTATTTGCACATACTAGATAGGTGTATCAACCTTAAAAAGCCACTAGCAAAGGCAAATTCTGAAAAAAGACCCACTCAACATGTTAGGCGTTTTGGTAAGACACACTCTTCAGGTAAGCACCCCCTACCATGGGGAATTTAAACCATGGTACTGTCCCTACTGCAACTTGCTCATCTGTATGCTCAGACTTTTTCATTCATTGGTGAGGGATGAAAGGTATAAAAAAGAGGTGCTCCTTTTGAATATAGAAAAAATCATTTGCTTTCTCTTCAACCACTAAATGGACAAACTGAAAATGTGACTAGATGTAAATCTTTCAGCTCCAAATTTGTTTTCTTGCTTAAATTGGGGTTAATTTTTCATATTTTCTGTAATTTTCACAGAATTCAATTCAAATTCAAATGCTTTCATTTTTGATCAAAAAATTTGAAATTTTCACTGCATTAAATGTGGAAAAGAGCTGACTATAAATGGAATTATTTGTGGGTGGTACCTGAAGTTGACTTTGGCGCTCAAAAGTTAATAAAAATATAATATTGATTGCATTAATTGAGGATGCTGTCTTTTCTTCAAACAAAAGCAACTTATTTTCCTGCCTGATATATTTAAGTATCGTAACACTAAAAAAAATGAACCCAACTGAATAAAAACTAATAGGACTCAGTTATCAATTGGTTCGTGATGGATATTTGCACTTCATGGCATGGCATATTTCATGGTATTTTACCCTGCAAAACTGAGTGCGTGAACGTCAAGTGAAATGTTATGCTATCTGTGATTTATTTTAGATTTAAATATTTCAATATTCTGTTTTTTTTAGAATTTATTGTCTGAAGTTTATATTTCGACGATTTGGTAAACTTGGTTAGGCTTGAAAATGATAACAATTTAGTAAGGATCATTAATAATTCAAAAGCAGTTTCCAGTATGTCCTTTTAGTCATCTGAAGTTTTTACAAAAACTTGATAAAGTTAAAATGTGAAATCAATTCAGTTAATATACATGAAAGTATTTGTGATGTGCTCTGTTGATTCTAGTTACATTGCTACGTGGCAAAGGTGGGTTTCTACAACACCAAGGTAAAATGTTATGAAAATTATTTTGTTCTGTTCATTTGAATAATAATAATCATAAATTTGTATCATTATCAAACATAAACATCAAGCCACACCACATCAGTCATATTTCACTTTCGGTTCACCACCTAAAGATAAGTTTTAATTAAAAAATGAGCATAAAATATTGTTGTTATATAATATATAAGCTCATCGAATGGTATTTCTTGCATTACTAATTACTATAAACTACTTTAATTATTGAGAGACAAATTTTCGCGAATATTGAGAGTCGTAAAACTTTTGTAGCAATAAGCAATTCATGAGGGTCCTATGAAAATTGACAATTTTGTAGCAGTATACAATTCACCAGGGTCCCGCGATACAGTGTCGTTGGCGTTTGAGAAATTTTGTTTTCACGAATACCATCAAATTTGAAAATTGTGACAACTTTGTAAGCAGTATACAATTCACCAGGACTCCGCGACACAATTACTGTAATATTTACATTGAATTTTATGCTATCTGCTTCCATTTTGAAATTGTGAAGTTGAAAAGCATGTACCACACCACTTCACAAAATATTTCATTTTTTGACGACTTAACATCACATTACTCAATAATCGCATGTATTTCTCAATTTGATTCTAAACAACTTTACCATTTTAAAAATCCACCCTCTGAATTTAACCTTCCACCCCTATTATTCTATTAAAATGGAGCACCTCAAACACTTAAATCATGTATGTGGGGTGCAGCTCATTCCATTTATAAATAAAGGGGTGCTTACATTTCTCCAAGTGCTTCTGTCTAATTAAATACTTCTCTTTGCAGCAAGCAGTATTCCCCTGCTGGTCCATCCACCTGTGTATGTAAACATGTCTAAGGAGACTTGACTGATCTTGTCAGTAATTGACCGTACATACATAATCATAAAATATTCTCATCTGTGATAGTGTTGACTTCAAAACTTATCATTTGATTTACACACACTGGAGTTCAACTATTTTGATTTCCAAATTAATAAATTAGATAATAAATACACAAAGTAGTCATTGTGTAGAATACTACTCTTAGGGTACTTGCCTCCCTAGCTAACTTGAAATAGTGAGTAGATCTCCTTAGGTATGTGTATCTTTACCTTATTCCTGTTTTTTTCTTTATTCCTTGCTGAATTAATGAGTTTAGAGTTCTCTGGTTGCTAGGTTACTGTACATCTGTCAGTGTTGATTGAGTTGTGCAAAAGGGAGGTAGTTATTATGTAACCAGTCTCAAGATTATATAATTGTTGTCTTTTTTTTAAGTGCAAAAGATTTTGATCCTTGTCCCCATTCATTTACACAGATGTTCTGGAAAGTACATATAGTTACCAAGACTATACTAATTATATTGTTTGTCTTGTTTCGTAAGTGTGCATGAAAACTAAGAATTTTTTTTACACTTTTTGTCAATCAAATAAACCTGAGATGACTAAAACTCAGAATTGACATGATCGCTGACATGTTCACCTAGCGACTACAGAATTCCAAACCAGGAGAAAAGCACATGTTAACACATTAAGTCATAAAGATGTATTTTAAGGGTGTTAATGGTGGTGGTAAATAAATATACCATATTATCTGTATTAGTATGTTTGCACAATAGGTTTGTTGGTGTTATTGGAGTGTTATATGACATAATTGGAGGCGTGTAAATGCATTAATTATTAACTGGGTTGTAATTTTGTTATTTTTCCTGAAAAGTAAAATTTGCTAAATTTAATCAATATGAATATACCATTGAATAAACTCAAAATATTAAAGCGAGGCAGTCGTCATCTACGTTATGCGTCAGGTGGCCATAGCGTGTCTTTGTTTACAAACAAGCGTCTACACATGAGCCTTTGCGTTCTTAGCGTGTGTTGTTATCATCGCTTTGGACTCAATTCCCTCATGTGCACAGGTGACAACTCTCCTGCTTTGAAATTGAATGATTTTACAGTATTTGACAATTTACTTGGATTCAACTTTGTTTAGGACATATTTCCTGCAATTCATAGAAATCCTTGCTGTCATAAAATAGTATTATAACAACTATAAACCTACAAGCCTCATCATGAGAAAAGATGACTGTAAATAAATTCTATACATATAATGATAGAGTAATATTCATGTATAGTTGTTATAGGTTTAAGTACTGGTGACTAGATTTAGTCAAAGACCATATAAAAGAAATAAACGACTCTCGGACTTGTACTACCGTAATATATTGTGAATGCTTTGTTTGGATTGGTATCCTAATAATATTTCAATTTTCATTTTATAAAATATTACACGGACAAAAATATTTTTCTGGATCTCAAGCTTGCTTAAGATGCTTACTGGTTTTGTTGATTTTCTCTCAATTGTTGTCCTTTGTATTTGTAGTAATAACAACTTATGTTCATACATACATGGGATTTGCCATGTTTTACCAGAAAACGCATCAATTCAAGCGTCCGAGTTCTGAAATAAAATAAATGAATATATGGCAGATTGATCTAGTCACTGTCTCAGTATGATCATTCAAAAAAAAAAATTCAGCAAACATGTTAGGCAAAACTGATCATTGAGTTAGGCAAGAGTTACATTCTGAACATAGTTAGGCAAGAGTGGAAATCGAGTTAAGCAAGAATGGACATTGAGTTAGGCAAGAATGGGCATTAAGTTAGGCAAGAGTGGACATTAAGTTAGGCAAGAAAGGACATTGAGTTAGGCAAGAATGGGCATTGAGTTAGGCAAGAAAGGACATTGAGTTAGGCAAGAAAGGACATTGAGTTAGGCAAGAGTGGACATTGAGTTAGGCAAGAGTGGACATTGAGTTAGGCAAGAAAGGACATTGAGTTAGGCAAGAATGGACATTGAGTTAGGCAAGGATGGGCATTAAGTTAGGCAAGAATGGGCATTGAGTTAGGCAAGGATGGGCATTAAGTTAGGCAAGAATGGGCATTAAGTTAGGCAAGAGTGGAAATTGAGTAAATCAGTAGGTAAGAATGAACATAATATGTTAATGTCATGGTTACATATATTTAGGAAAGTATGGAATTTTCATGTTGAACAAAGTAAGGTATATATAGTTACTGAACATAGGGTTTTACAAAGTTGGCACATTCGTGATTTTTGAGTCATCATCAGTGTCTGTTTCTTCTCCATAAACAGGTAGGATGGAACACCGAGAAGGGACGAGTACACACAAGGATGAAAGAAAATATACACAGAATTTGAGACGGCCATTTGGTGTTGCTGCCATGGAAGTCACGAATTTCATTAGGGAAAAAGTGACGAATGATGACGAGCAGCAACATTTTCTACCTTTTCAACCGTGAGTTCTTTGGACAGCGAGTTATGTGAGCTTCAGTCCTGAATGCCCAGAGCACTAAACATTTTGAATGTTGCACTGAGCACTTTGAATGTTGCACTG